GAATGCAAAGGAGGCACAGATATGTCCATGTATAGTTAGAATGGGCTGGGTTGGAATTTACAGTCCTGTGTTTCTTGGGACACCTTCATGGCGCTTAGATGTGGTACAGACACGTTAATCTCAACACTCTCACCTCCGCATAATCATGAGGCAGTCACTCCCTGGACACCAAGCTGAGCTCTGTCGGAAGCAAGGTCCTCCCCGTCTAGAATGCTAGCCAGAACACTGTCACCTCCACTGCTGGGGGTCTCCTGAGTGAATGGTATGAGAGGATTTAAGATGGCGTCAGGGCCATTGGGAAAAAAGGGAGCATTTTTTTGCTCATTTTTATATAGTTCTGGTTTTGTTTTGTCCAAGATTTACGTCAACACCTAATAGGACCTAGTACGGGGACAATGTCACTTCAGTTGAAGCCTAGAGTGTAGCCGGCCGAGCCGCCCTGATTGAACATCCAGTAGTTAACCAGTAAAAACTAAGATGTTCTGGAGACGCAGGGGCCAGCAGCCAGCAGCCTGTCGCAGTTAGGGTAGAACTGGCCGTGCGCTGTCCACAGTCCAGCAGTGTGATCACGTGAACTCTTGTCATCACACAGGCCTTTCTGACAGCCATCGGCGATAAGAACCGCAGAGCGGTGCTGGCCCTCGAGCACATGTTCGCACCTGTCCTGGACGGCGCCGTGTCCACGCTGCTGGGGGTGCTGATGCTGGCAGGGTCTGAGTTTGACTTCATCGTCAGGTAAGTGGGAGAGGAGCTTGGTCCAGACATCGCCCTGGCGAGTTTCCATGTTCTTTGTTGCGTATTTCCTTCCGCATCTGCTGCTGCAGCTTCTGCCTTGTGGCTCAACTTTGTTTTGAATTTGTGAACTCAGGGATATGCTAAGAGGTGCCGAGACAAGCGCTTTTCTAGAGCCATCTTGGGGACTATCTTGAAAACAATAGACCAGGGAGAGGGGGTGTTGGGAACGGCAGCTACAAGAGGCCACAGCTCGAGGCCAAAGGATCAGCTGATACCTCGGGTGTTGGCATCCCCGGTGGGAAACAGCAGTGGACAGAGATGCCCACAGTTCCCATTAGCTTCATCTCCGAAACTGCAGGAAGGAAAACGTACAAATACTTGAAACTATTGTCTGTAATGTTTTCTCTGAGGAAGTACAGGTCCAGATTGACATTCCAGCCCCTGCCCTGGTAGCATTTGACCTTGGCACCAGACTTTGGATAGGCTTTTTTTTTTTTTTTTTTTTAAGAATTATTTTTAATTTAATTTATTCACTTATTTTAATATGATCAGAGACACAAAGAGAGAAAGAGGGAAAGTGAGAAAGCCAGCCACCAGGTTCGGGACTCAAACCATGGTCAGCCATGTGGGAGTGTCCAGCGCCTTAGCCACCACGCCACCTGCTGGTCCCCTGGATAGACTTCTTTGGATCTCAAGGCAGGCGGTTCTAGTTGATTTAATTAGATTGTGACTTTGCGACCATTAAAAGGAGAGTGAGCTTTCTTACTTGTTTGTAAAGAATTTGAGAACGGGGAAAGAAAGCATTTTGAGTTTTCCTTTAGAAAAGAATTTTGGTAACTGTAGAGACAGATCATTCTTTCCCTCTGGACCCTGTGGATGTCTTTGTGAATGAGTTGCTCTTGGGTGGGAAAGTGCTGCTTTGTGGATGGAGAGGTCAGAATCGCCAAAAAGTGAAAGAGAGCCCAGAATTAGAGCCGCGGTAGGGTAGAACCAAATGCAGTAAATGACTGACTCCTATGGGGTGCTTCAGTCTGCAGCGATAACATTAAAAAGGCTTGTCACTGGGGCCAGCAGGTGGTATAGAGTTAAGGTGCTGGAGTCCCACATGGCTGACCCAGATGCTTGAAAGTCGTACCTGGTGTGTGTGCATGCGTGCCCAAAATCCCAGGAAGAGAATGGAGAAGGAACTGTAGCGCGGCCATCTCCTGTAGGGGTGATTTCTCACTTTCTCTCTGTGTGTATATCTCTCTTGGGAGGGTGCATGTTTAAAAAAAAATAGTTTATGGGCCCGCAGATGGTATGGTAATTAAGACATTGGAAGCCACATGGCCAATTCGAGTCCCAGACCCAGCCACTTAAAAATCATGCCTGGCGCATGTGCATGTGTACCCAAAATCCCAGGAAGGAGAATAGGGAAGGGATTACAGTGTGGCCATACCCCTAGGGGGGCAATTTCTCAATTTCCCTCTCTGTCTCTCTCCAGCAAATGCATGTGCCCTATGTTAAAAAAAAAATCTCAAAAAAAGAAACCAATAAAAAGCTTGTCACGCGCATACTGTTGTGGGGGGGAGAAGAAAGGTAGATGGGATAGGGGTTCCTCCTTGAGTTTTAACTAGAAGTTTTAGCTAAAGTTTATTTAAAGAAAGAAAAAAAAGATAATCCAGGACCAGTCATTGGCGTAGTAGTTAAAGCTGCTGGATCCCACACAATCAAGTCCCAGACCCAGCTAGAAAAGGACACCAGGCATATGCGCCTGCCTAAAATTCCCAGAAGAGATTGGAAGAGGAGGGGTTGCAGCATGGCCATCCCCTCTGGGTGGTGCTTTCTCACTCCCTCTCTCGCCCCTGTAAGCATACGTGCCCTATCCCAAAATAAACAAAGCGCCCATCGGTCCATCGGAAGTAGTCGTCGAAGTAGTTGTCGGACAGTTCCTCATCACAGCGATTGAACTTGCCCAGAACAAATGCCAGAGTTTGCTCCCTGCGCTTTTGGTGCAGGGAGAGTGCAGAGGTGAGAGAGTGGGTGTGGTGTAGACCCATATTGTGTTCACGAATCATCTGAGGCTGGCAGGGGGTGGGCAGAATCTGTACTTTCAGCCAGCTCCCAGACCTTGCCAGACAGGCTATTGATAAGTTAACAAGCCAATTAGTAAATGCTTGTTTGCCAATACCCACTAGATAGTTGCCTAACTTAGATAAAGGTTTTGGTCTGTGTTTTGTTTTAAGCTCTTAATTTGACTTTGTCTTCCTTTATTTCTTCAATACAGAACTGGGCATTAGTATGGTCTCTTCATAGCCGCAAAGCCCAAAGTCAAATAGTGGCTTTGGCATAATTACTTGATCATTCAGCACAGATGCGGTGAGCGCCTCGTCAGTGCCATTTTGCCCAGCAGCCAGCGTAACATGGACCCTGTGTCCCCTTGCATAGCATGGTCTGTAAGGGGAAAGACCGTTCTCAGGCAGTTCCAAACCAGGGACAGGCAGGAGGGTGTGATGGAAACTCATGAGTGAGATGGGCTTTGCTATGCAGCATCCAGGAGGAAGTGTGGCTTGAATGCGAGCCGGGTCAGGGGGGAGTGTGGCTTGAATGGGGGCCGGGGGGGGGGGGGGCAGAACCCCAGTTCTCTCATCTAACCCAGGGCAGCTGGTTTGCTCCCAGAGATATCAGGGTTCCTGTTTCAAGCACTTAGAAGGGCTTCCCATTCTCTAGCCTGGACGGATGAACCTGATAAAGCCCTCACTGAGGTCGAATAAATGAGCAGACGTTGTATACACTGAGCCGTCAGAAATCTAATTGGTCTGTTTATGCTATAGGGAGATGGATGGGATGCAAATGTCTTAATGTCTGCCGCTGATAAATGCTTCAGCTGAAAGTTCCAGCAGTTTACATTAGAGCAAGACACGGGCTGCTTGGTTTTTACTAATACAGCTCAGAAGTTTCTAGTGTTTACAATAGCGGCGAGGTATTTGTGTTTTTATAGAGATCCTCTCTCCTTTCATCTGATGTTGAAACATATCTAGACATGGCAGAGTTGGGTGCCTATTCCATTGTAAGATCCAGAGGACCATTAGCTGAAAGACATCCTGCCCTCCCTCTTCCCACAACACCCTGAGCCTCTCCCCCCACCCCGCCCACTTCCATCCAAGTTGCCCTAGAAATCGTTAGTTCCAGAAATGCATCCTTGCGTGGAGGCCCCACCCTCCAGCTGTGCGCAGAGTTCGCCAGAGGCTGGCCTCGGCTGACAGGTTTACCTTGGTATTTGTGAAGGATCCCAGACCTCAGCGCTCAATGGTGGGAAAGCAGAGCTACTTGTGCACTCTCCTCCTCTGCCTTGGTGCTGCGGCCTTTATGTCTGAATTGGCTGACGCAAAACAAGAGTATTCAGAGATGCTAAATTGTTCAACAAAAGCTTGGCCCGCAGAGCAGCCCCGCCATTGTGGAGGGCCCTCACCCAGCACAATGCCCCAGCTCCCACAGAATGGGCAGCATTTTCTTTGCAGAAAGCTGGTTCCTGTATTCTTAAAAAGGTTGCAATTGGAGCTATTTGGTAAAACTGGAACTCACAGAATTCTAGGCAGAAAGTTGTGCTTAATGAAAGCCCAGGGAAAGCCTCACCTGATACGCTGGAGACTTAATTAGAGATTCTGCCGTAAGATGCAGAAGCATTTCACAGTGGATTAGCTGCCTGCAGAAGTGGGCTGCTTTTCCTCCTGGGCTAAATTGTTTAAATTCTACACCCTTCACTTCATTTGTTTGCTTCTGCTGGGTTTTCATGAACGGGGCCCCTTGGCATTGTATTTGTGCTTTCAGTCCGCTCGGCCATTCAGTCGGCATT